CTGGTTTTTTTCCGAAACAAATATTGCAATAAGGATGTCAATAATCCTGTTTCCCAAACTCAAATGGTGAAAACTAAATGAGCACTGAAAATTGACATAATTCACTGCGTAACAAATCATGAATAAATCAATTTAAGAATTTTTATACATTTTCAAATGGAAGCCATGAGAGTGAACATATTTTACTGGTAAACACTAATAAATTGATCAGTGAATAACAACATTCGTCTTAGAGATATGATATTTCAGATGAGAAGGAAATTGAACAATATTAATCCACTCGAGTCATACTCATGATTGCCTTCATTGTCTGAAAACAGATGTATATTGAAAGTGAATTTTCATATGACAAGTTGAACTAGAATTGTGAAAATCGATCTGTTGAGTAAAATCAAATTGAGCTGTCTACTTTTATGTATGTTACTAATTAACACAGTGATGGATGAAGTACAATCTAAGACTGAACACCTATTGTTACCGGAGCCCTTCATTAAGCCAATAGTTAGTGAGAAGCAGATCATAGGAGTCGGATTATCTCATTCGTTTATCACTCAAAACGCATACTCCTATCCCAGTAAATAAACCTCATCGAATAAGACAGTGAATGAGCACATGTAACTAGTATTCTAATTCGATCGATGAAGATTCATGACTCTATCAACTAATCTTCTGTCTTTACATAGTATGACATACGTAACTTGAACATTGTCGTAATGTATAACAGAGCTGTTTGCTGATCATTATATTCATTGTTCAGTTGTCAGATGAATAGCTCGCCTACATTACAGGTATCGCGATTTGGCAAACGTCACTCCATCTTTCTAAATTTTTGTCTACATTCTACATTTCACCAGACACAAACCCTCCACAACTGATCAGGCTTTTGATGAACATCAAGTTCACAAATGGACTCGTCCTCTTCACTCCTCTTCACTAGTTCAGGCGTTGGCATAGACCAATACTGGGACACTATTTTGTATTTAAAGCGAGAGGAAGAGAGGGTACTGAATCTGAAATATTCTTGGACTGTTGTATAGTAAATCACAATTCAGAAAAATATTGTGTACGGTTCATGAAATTATCCTTTATGTTTACAGATGTTGTAACACCATATGAGTGTAATGTAAACAGTGATAACATATTCAAATGGCTTTTGCAATGACTAAAGCATGCTGTTGTCAGATTGTAGTAGGGATTTATCGATTCACTTATTGATTTCCGATATACACAAATTACACTGTGAGCAATAATTCATATGATATATATGGCTGTATTGTTGAAGTGATTATTCGATGTTTGATGATGAAATGAAAAGCAGTGAATTAATGGTAGTAATTTGACAAGAGCATTTCTATGTTGAACCACACTAATGTGGAAATATTTGTGTAATAAATCATTTGAATGAATCAAACAACTGTTTTGTTTTCGTTGAAATATTTTTAGTCTTGCATTGCATGAATTAATTCTGTGGTCCTAAACCCTTTTGCTTGCTTTGTTTGAATGTTTTCTGAGGAACAGACTTGAAGCAGTTAAAATTAACTCTGCATTGTCGAACGCCTTCATCGCTAGAAATGGTGTGATAGAAGCTAGTTTATTGGACCATTTGCTGTTTTTAATTTTATCAATGATATTTGTGCGTCTTTTTCTGTGGGTAGGCCCTTTTTGTGCTCAGATGATCCTAAAGTAGTCCACTAATTTTTTCCACACGAGCTGTACAATATTCAAAATTGAATCAGCACGTAGCTTAACAAGGTAGCACAGTTGTGCTCAAAATGGCAGCTGTAGATTAATACAGCTAAATGTTGATAGATATGCTTTGGTGATACATTATGCAACTTAGATTTTACCATGAATGGACTTAGGTATTCCTACGACTTGTCGTTTACCGAACAGATATTAAAACAGACTTTCAAGTCCCAACCTCTTATAGATTAAGTAGCTCGAAATCTTTTAACAATGAATCGCGTACTTTAATGTAATCTAAGAATACTGAGCGTTTATTCTTAGTAGCGCACGCATAAAGGATAAATTAAGGCTGGAATCAAAACAGAGACGATTTAAACTTCGTATTCTTGGAACTGATTGTACTTTTACTTATTTACTTACGCCTGTTACTCTCAATGGAACATAGGCCGCCGACCAGCTTTCTCCAACCCACTCTATCCTACCCCTTCCTTTCTAGTTCTATCCAGTTTTTGTTCATTCTTCTCATGTCTGTCTCTACTTCTCGGCGTAATGTGTTCTTTGGTCTTCCTCTTCTCCTTTGGCCCTCAGGATTCCATGTGAAGGCTTGTCTTGTGACGCAATTGGGTGATTTCCTCAAAGTGTGCCCAATCCACTTCCAGCACTTCTTCCCGATTTCTTCCTCCGCTGGAATCTGGTTTGTTCTCTCCCACAGTAACTTGTTGCTGATAGTGTCTGGCCAACGGATCCAAAGTATCTTGCGTAGACAGCTGTTAATAAACACTTGTATCTTCTGGATGATGGCTTTCGTAGTTCTCCACGTCTCTGCCCCATACAGAAGAACTGTATTGAATATTCTGACCGTGGTGTTGGTTGACAATTGTTTTGAGTTCCAGACGTTCTTCAGTTGTAAATATGCTGCTCATGCTTTGCCGAATCACCCCCTCACATCTGCATCAGATCCACTGTGTTCATCAATGATGCTGCCCAGATATGTAAAGGTTTTCACATCCTCCAAAGCTTCTCCGTCAAGTGTGATTCGGTTGGTGCATGCAGTGTTGTATTGGAGAATCTTGCTTTCCCGTTTGTGTATATTGTGGCCAACTGCTAATGAGGCTACTACACTGGTCATCTTCTCTTGCACTTGTTGTTGCGTGTGTGATAGAACATCCAGGTCATCTGCAAAGTCTAAATCGTTTAGCTGCATTCTAGTTTTCCACTGTATCCCGTGCTTCCTTTCAGATTTTGGCGTCTTCATGATCCAGTCGATCACCAGGAGAAAGAGAAAGAGTGAGAGTAAGCAACCTTGCCTGACACCGGTCTTTACCTTGAATGAGTTGGTTAGTTGTCCTCCATAAACCATTTGGCAGTTTAATCCATCATAGGAATTCCGTATGGTATTGACTATCTTCTCAGGTACGCCGTAGTGTCGAAGAAGCTTCCATAGTGTTGTCCTGTCCACACTATAAAATGCTTTATCAAAGTCAATGAAGTTGATGTAGAGTGATGAATTCCATTCAATTGATTGTTCTACAATGATCCGTAGAGTTGTGATTTGTTCTGTACACGATCGATCTTTACGGAATCTATCCTGTTGATCTCGGAGTTGGACGTCTACGGAGTCCTTCATTCTGTCAAACAATACCCCGTTGAAGACTTTTCCAGGTATTGAGAGAAGAGTGATGTCCCTCTAGTTATCACACTTGATGAGATCGCATTTCTTTGGTATTTTGATCAGAAGTCCTTTTTACCAGTCTATTGACACTTTTTCTTTTATTATTATTATTATTATTATTATTATTATTATTATTCACAAACATCTTATGGGTACATAAGTGCTGTGAAGAAACCATTTCGGGTTTCTTCAAAAATGCAATAATACACAATTTTCAATACGACATTCGTAACTACTTGTCACTAGCGAAACAAACCCATCCTAAATCATCTCTCTGTACGAATTAATGACCCTGGAATATTCTACCACAATCTGTCCGTACGATAAAATCTCTCCCATTTTTTGTTTACTGCACTGATGCATACTGCTCCTCTGACAATGCATTAAATGTTCTAGTGCCTTTAAGTGTATCATACTCCACAAGTGAAATTTTAGGAACTTTAGATGTTTAGACATTCTTATTAGTGAATTCCCTAAGCAAAACCACTTATCTGCTATCACTTTACGTTAACACTGTCCCTAGTAACCTTAACGTATTTGAATAATATCTAACATGAACATTGGTAAACTTGACCAACATATTTTGGCAATCATTTTTTTCACTGTTGAAATCATGAGTCAATTGAAGCTAGACCACCATCGAAAACCTGGAAGCACTGGACGGCAGTTTCGTCCTATTATGGGACTCCTCAGCAGTGCGCTGCCACGATCCCGCTCTCGCGAGATTCGAACCCAGGACCTACCAGTCTCGACTCGAGGCCATTAACCGATAGACCACTGAGCTGGCATCCAACGGTGTTAATGTCTAACTTCAACCAATCCACGATTTTGAGCAACCATTCATCAATTGTCTTCAGTGAGTTGATATCTCTACAACAGACTTTGTTGTTCCCTGCTCTCGGTTTTCACTTTACATTATCTAGTTGTAGATAATTGTCAGTAATTCGCTCTGGCACAGGAACTAGCTTTTAATAACACCGTTCATAAACCGACAGGCTGTGCACTTAAGAAAAAAATTTAAAGTTCCCTGCTGATGCATTGGATTGCTGTAATATATGTCATGAATGTACTTATTGTTGTATCCCGTGGAGAATTATAAATGGTAAATTTGAGAACTATCTATGGACCAACGTGGTATGTATATTTTCTATTGTGCAGTTGCTAAGTAACTAACCTAATCATATTCGTGTTCCTCTTCTTATTAGCTTTATTTTGACCTATAGACTATTACTAAACGATTTACCATTCTTTATTTATCCTCAGTCTATTGATTACTGTTTCCCTATTCACAGCCACTTTTGGATAATTCTTGTACAAATGTTATTTTCTATTTTATGGTACGGTGTGGTCTGTTTGGTTGGTATATAAACCCAGCGTGTTTGTGAATAATGATTCATATTGCAGAGGCTGTTATTGGTGTCCTAGACTTAACTGGCTGGGATAGGCAGATAGCAAGGCCGATACGCACTCAAGACTGGTCGTATGGTTTTCGTGTGTTACCGTCCCAGTCGATAATTTGCGGCTCTCTGATTGGAGGTCTTATGACGTTCATATATTAACAGGGCACGTACGCACTGACACGTTATAACAATTAATAAACAATTACAGAACTAGCAAAATTAGAACAATCTTATATCCCGTCTGTGAATGGAAATTTATTTGCTCTAGTCACTTAAAATTCGGTATACACGCAGTCCAAGTTGAAAAAAATGACAAGTTGATTGGTCAAGACAGCTCCCCTGCTATATTACAAACTATAATTTATAAGTAAAACAAATGACCGAGAACTTCGGTTTCCTAAATCTCATTAACATTTCATAATCTCATTATATATGAACATTTGTATATAGTACTAATATTTAAATTTCAGAAATGAGATAACTATGCAAAGAGTAAAATAATTCAAAGCATAACCATCTTCCATGACACATTGAACACTGAAATATGGCTGTATAATCAGAGAAAAAACAGCAACATTTTAAAGACTCGTTGTAAACAAATATTCTTGTAATGTTTCCACTGGAAATACATATTCAACCGAATTTCGTTAGAGTTATTCAACAAACTGAAGATTCAACGTTAGATGAATTTGCATTTGTTGAGTTCGATTTTTTCAAACCTGAATACGTAAATATCCACATCAGTATCAAAAACAATTTCCACCAACAATTGTAAAGAATTCCAGCTGCTAATACTAAATCCATTTGACTGTACCGAAATTCGCCGCCTCCAAACACCATCTTCACTTCATATAATAATTTCTATGAAAGGGAAATTATGAGTATGTAAGAGTATGTACAATCAGATTCGGGATATTTGAAAAAAACTATTCGTCATACTATGGTTGAATTGCTAAGATTTCTAATCTAGTTAATCAAGTACTGGATTCATTTCCATGTTAAATACTTTACACAGAAGATTCTAGAATCCCAGGGTCACTTGGAAGCTTAGAATTGAATTATCACATGTATACATAAACTACTTGTTAAATCGTAGCCTGTATTTGAATTTTCCTAATTCCAATTTCTTTTTTTGATTCGATTGTGTTAGACTTAACATCAACTACGAAGTCAGTATTGGATGATTTTATGTATCAGTAATATCATGAAGAAGTTGAATGACTTACTTGAAAATCTACACTTCTCATCAAAATATGAGTTTCAGTCAGTTGCCGAACAATTTGAAAGTACTAGTATGGGTGTTGTGGATAATTTTTGATTTTAGTAAGATCACGAAGTAGTGTGAGATAGCGAACCATGTGAGATTTGGATGCACTAGACATCTGTTTTCTTTAGTATGGTAGTTTTTAAAAGTATGCAGCGACAACCCATAATAGTGATCATTTTCAGGACATTGGATCTTGTACGAGCACGTCTAACATCTAGACCAATGAGCAAGGATTCAAGGATCTACAAGTCTAAATTCAATCAATATACAACATGGTGTGAAAAAATTCACACGTTTTAAATGGAGTGTTGGCAAGCCTTCAAATTGTTATTAGTATTGACCATATATTTATGAAATAATAGTTAAAAGTGAATACATTATGCAACATTGACTTTCAAAGAATACGTGTTTGATAGCCAGTTGAGGATGTTCCACCAGATGTAAAAACAGTTGACTTACAAAAAGTGTGAATGGTAAAGCAATTGCACCAGCAACAGTTAGTACAATCTAATAAAAGATGGAGAGAAATGGTTACGAAATAAGATTTAGGTTATCAAAAATCAATTAAGTGAGACAATTATCGATTTAACATTAAACAAAAAATTAAGTATAAACAATTGGATATGTGATTTATTGAATCACTTTCTATCAAAAGTCGATTGACAGATTAACTTTTACTAACATAAACATTAACTCAGTTTCGAATCCGTAGAATGACGAGTGAAGTTTGACTTGAGAAAGTGGAGATTTATAGATTGAGTGGATTTTCATTCAGCGATTTGAATGGTTTAATCTTGTATTACGCTGAAATCATTCAACTCAGAGAATGAAATTTCACGGAAATTTTACATTCGTCAATGATTAATATCAACCAAGTGAATATTATCAATCGAAGATGTCATTGGGCAACTATTTTATATTATAGTTGAAAGCGTGAGTCAGAAGAAGCTAAATCATCATCGAAAACCTGGAAGCATTGTACGGCCGTTTCGTACTATTATGGGACTCCTCAGCATTGCGCATCCACGAACCCGCCCTCGCGATTTTTGAACCCAAGACCTACCAGTTTCGAGCCGAAGCCCCTAACCGATGGAGCACTCAGCCGGCATCCAACGGTGTTAATGTCTAACTTCAACTGATCCACGAAGTTGAGCAACCATTCATCAAAGGTTCAGTGGTTAATCGGTTAAGGGCTTCGGCTCGAGTCTGGAAGGTCCTGGGTTCGAAAATCGCGAGAGCGGGTTCGTGGATGCGCACTGCTGAGTAGTCCCACAATAGGACGAAACGGTCGTCCAGTGTTTCCAGTTTTTCGATGGTGGTCTAGCTTCAATTGACTCACGCTTTCAACTATTAAAAATACCAAATCCACACAAAAACCCTTCTTATAATTATTATTTTATATTGGTTTAAAATCCCACAGGAATATGAACTCACAAACATTGGAGAAGTGTGTGTAATTCAGAGCTTTGAAGTGAAGCAACAAGTACATTACCGACAAGCATTTTAGGTAGTATTCAATAGCCTACATGTTCAAGTTCATTCCAAGAAAATAAGAATAAATGGTGTTTTCATATTAGTCACAGGTACTGAGTAATGATGACAGGACAGAGGAATAAACTGGTCATTTCAATTCATTTGAATCACGATCGTTCATCTACTTTCTAATAGTTTTCAACAATTGCGTTGAACTCAGACAACTACTGTGTGATGACTATGGGGGCTATTGAACATGTACGAATTTCGAACGTATCCATGAAGATTTCATTAACCTCAAAACAATATCTGAATTAAGACAAATCAGATACATATATATTTCGATGACTTAAATCTAATTTTATTTATGTTTAGGTGAGAACAGAATATATTGTTTTCAATTTGCCTTCTATTGAATACTGACAGTTCGAGCCCCATTGAATATGTGATATCTCCATTTGAACTGAAACTACATAACCTGAAATGCTTAATCATCATTGTGTTAGCGCATTCACAACCAACGATAAAATAGAGTCATTTACAGAATTACAATTAGACATCAGATTTGGTAAAACAAACAAACTAATTACCTTCTCACATGACAATATGTAGTAAAGACTCTGTCCAATTAATAGTGTCAAATCGATAATTATTGTCACAAACAGATTTGTGAGGTAATATTTGGTGAAATCATATCGTATAATAGTAATGGTGCAAATAATGAGATTAAATAATGTCACTGACACACCGAACATATAAGTGACAATATCTTCCTTGTACAAGGTTGCATCCGATGCGATTGCAGCTGTCGAAAATGATGTCTGTAATAATAAAAATAATAAAGATAGTGATAAAAGTGAATAACAGATGAGGCAATTACACTATTACATGATGATGGCACTGCGATTCGAAAGGAAATATATCACAACAGTGTAAGTGAAAGAGTAATCTTTATTTTCTATGACTGCTAATTCGTACAAAACTTATGTGACTAATCAGATGATGATGTTGAGACCGACTGAGCAAATCGATGGATAGATTGGATGATTGATGTGAGGTTATATAAACTGAATTCAATGTAAAGATTTCTATTATGTGTAAATCTTAACTGAACTTCAAAAGTATTTTTACTTACCATCAGTATTAGATAGATTATATTGTATGGATATTTCCGTGATAATGCTGGAACAAACACCAAAATCAACTGAAGAAGTAGGTTGATGGAGCTGTTGATAGTGAAGAATTTTATTAACAATATTAACGTAGTGATAAACATAAGAATATCAATAACAGTTACAAATTATATTTTGATATAATGGAGATGTGTAACATTGAGTGGAGACCTTCGTGATGTGAAAACGTAGAAACCTTTGTCGGAGATGTTTTAGGAAATTGGTTCACACGTCTGCTTAGTCAGCACTCAATGAAATAATCTTTGTTGTTGATGTTGTTTCACTGCTTGGGAATTAGAACTGTAGGGCAAGGAGTTGCTCCTTAATGAATCCACGCGCTTCTGTCTGAGAGCTCTCACAGTATCACTGGGCAGTATCACAGCCCTCTAATAAATATGACAATAAATAATTAAGGAGAAATGGATTTAACGTCTGCACTTCACTACTAACTCAAATGGATCTTCTATTCATACTGGCCAGTTTCTATATTTTCACACTAACGCAGATCAGATAACAGATAAATCTAGCTAACTCTTTGAAAAGACAATATCATAAATATATATATAGTAGTTTAGTTTCACATTCTTCACAATAATGGGAGGAGATCTTTCTACTGAAAGAATCCTCTCTGCTTATATGTTTTCTATTGATCTCTTTTTACCATTTTTTATCACTCTCGTGCACTTGTTTTTATCCATCAATTAACTATACTCCCTCTCATTCATTAATTCCTTCACAATCTTATCTTATCTGTTTAGTGCATACAAATTTGCTTACAAATTCTGAATGTGGATTACCAATACATATGAAGGGTATGAATTAATCTGAAATATTCGGATCTCAATTTAATTGTTAGTAACTCGGAATCCTGACAGAAAATGTAAATGTGAGATGTCAAAGAACACACTGCATCAATAATTGGAAGTAGATATGAAAAGGATGAGTAGCAACTGGAAGAACTGAAAAGATATGTCTAGGACAGAGATGGATGGGGAATTTCGGTAGACGGTCTATGCTCCTCCGTGAGGGGTAACAGACGTAAGTAAGTACAGTGGTATGTATTTCGTCCTATTACAGATCAGGCATATTATAACTATGATAAGAACATCACAACAAGATCATGTGTTTGATTTGGATTTCGTGGAACGTTTGATCAACAAAATATCACTTCAATCATGCCATGGAATTCATTATTTTATCAGATTATCAGTACCATCATGACAGTAATTCAAATTATGTGAGTGAACATGACGTATAATGATACTCAATCACAGTGACATCTTCTCAATTTAGCAAAAGTTTAATTGGGAACAGCATCATATTTTCATTTTATTAGTGTTATTAGTTATGTATTGCATAAAGATAATGGTAGTAAAGTAAGTGGTTCTTACATTGTGACCCATAAGAATATATATTTATCTTTCATCCACTCAGTGATCTGTGTACTGAAAATAAGTTGGATTCAATTTACTAAACAGAAACACTACATACACTTGAGTAAACAAATACGTTCCTCCAAAAGTGATTGCAAACTGAAGAACTGTAATTGCAAGTACCTGTAAATGAGTAAAATAGAAGATGGAAACACAAAGAAACATGTAAAATCGGGTTCATGTTTTGCTAATATAAATAATTTTATCATGTCAAACCAGTTTTACATTGGTGGAGAACTCATATGTCGTATGACTGAATTCGCTTGAATCTATGATGGACCTTCCCATAGATTAATCTATTTACAGAGTAGTTTACTGATTGCAATGTATATACTGTGATGTGACAAGTCAGAAGTTCTATTCATTGATATGGTTCTATGGAATAGGGTGTTGACTTATTAATTTTACATCATTATATTCATACCTAACATATGAAACAGAAATGGTTCAAAGTTTACTACATGAATCACCTGCTTGAAAAACGTTTCCTGATTTTTAATTACCGAATAACTTGAA